CCGTGAAAGTCCGAGGAGAGAAACATCAGGCCCCTTTCTGACCTGGGCCCTCTGACCCCTCCGCCGAGAATTCCGAAGAAGGAGGGTGGGGACCACCACTGCCTTGTTCAGCCTCTGTCCCGCAAAGCCTAGGTGTGGACTCCACAAATCAGCAGTCCCTAAACTGCAAACTCCACAAGGCATGACTTTTTTTTTTTGGTCTATTTTGTTCTTTGATAAAGTCTCAGTACCTAAAAGAGTGCCCGGCACTTAGCAAGTGCTTGATAAATATATGTTGAATAAGTGATTCCATTAATACATCAATGAATGAAGCAATGAATCATTGCCATCAAGAGAACTGCTCTAAGTGAAGTTCCCTGCGGGCTGGGATTGGTTTTCCCTTTGTTTGATAAATCCCCGGTGCCTCGAATAGAGCCTTGGCACATAGGAGGTGCCGAGTAAACGGGTGTGACAGCACACGTGAACGGAGGACTGAGTCAACCATCGAATCAATGACTCGTTAGAATTTAATCTTTCTGGAGGTAAGGGTTTCCATCTGCTTTGTTTAAGGCTGCATTCTCAGTGCCTAGAGCAGTGCCTGGTGCATAGCCGGTGTCGAAGGAATGAATGAATGAATGAGGAATGAATGAATGAGCAAGCCCCCCCCACCAGCTCTCAGCGTGAGGACCTCAGACCAAGAAGAATGAAACACAAAGGGCGCCTGAGCCCTGCCCCCGGCCACCACGCGCCTCATGGTTTTTTAAATAATTTGTCGATTGTTTTTAATTGTTGAGGCAGTAATACTTGGTTCATGAAACTGCAATATACAGAGAGGTGAAATAAATAGCTTATATATATATAATATATATAATATAGCTGGTTTTAAAATATTCCCTTATTCATTGGTGTACTAGGTCACGTGAGTCACGGAAGGTTGATAGCAGCATCCTCCAGAACTGTGAGCAATGCAGGGTCACCATGATTGGACGAGGCCGTCTGTCGTCGGGGGTCGAGGCGCCGAGAATTCCGGGGGGCACACCTTCCCTGCGCGGTGTCTCGGGGCAGCTTGCAGCGGACAATAAATAAATGACTGCAAACCAGAGAGCGATTTTTGTTGGAGTTTGGGGCAGGGGCAGGGGACTGGGGAAGAGGGGGAGTTTGCTGGGGGGAGAAGGGACACTATTTTCTCTTTGTTTCTCTCTCTCTCTCTTTTTTTTTTTTTAGCTTTCAGAACCTTTGGGAAAAAGGACTTTGGTTTCTCAGAGTGTCGTTTTCCTCATTCAAGTCCTCCTCTGGGGACGAGTTTAGAGTTGTCTGTTCCTAGAGAGACACAAGCACCTGTGCGTTGACAACGGTCCCTTGTGTGAGTCTTTTGTCGTAGGGGGTTTCAAGTCGACAGTAAAATCCTTATCGCTCCCCCTCCCCCAGGAATTTTGGTTCAGTTTTTGTCTTCTTTTAAACACAATGTACAAAAATAGAAATTCTTCCTTATTTTTCATGTAAAAATATTCCTCTGATTGCAGTTCTCTGTGAGTGTGAGTGTGGGCTGGGACAGCCCGGTGGGGCCACGGCGGGGCCAGCCTAGCCGGGGTGCGTGGGGCGGATCCGCCGGGACCGCTTGGTCACCGTGGTGTACTTGAAGGGCTTCTGCAGCTCTGCCTGCCCCTTGGGGTAGCGCTTCATGAAGTGCACATCTTGCTGGTTCTCCCGGGTCTTGGGGCCCTTCCGCGGCCGCCCCTTTTTGGTGAAGCCCACATACCAGCCAGAGTACTTGGCTGACATCAGGGCTGTGTAGTTATTCTCCAGGACCTTCTCGATGAACACACACTCTTTGCTGGTGCCATCGGGCTGTGGGAAGAGAGAGAAGGGGGGAGGGTGAGAAGGGAGAGGGCACTTGCAAGGGGACAGAGCTACACAGAGAGGGTATGTGCAGGTGGCGAGGGCTTGGGGTAGCAGAGTAGAGAGGGCCTGACTCAAGCTTTGGCCTCAGTAATTTCACTCCCTAGATCTGTGGAGAGCACCTGTGGTATTGGCCCCTGCATCCTTCCCTACTCACCAGTTAGCTAGCAGACTCCTATTACCATTCAGGGATCCATCTCTTCTCCACTCTCCACCCTTCTACCTCAGCTCTACTACAACAAGAGACCTAGACCTGACCAATCAGAACACTATTTCCCATGATGGGTGGCCTGAGCCATCCAATCAGTGTTCCTCGAGACCCTTGCATAAGTAATGCCCAAACACATAGGCCGATTTAAACTTGGGGAACATGTAAGGCTGAAGCGAAGGCAGCCATTGTACCACCAGGAGGGGAAATTCTGTCTGACAGCAAAGCCAACATGGAGGAAGCAAAGCCAAGAGGAAGAGAATGAGAGAAACCAAGTCCGCATCACTTCTTTTAGCTTCTGGACCAAGCTGCACCTGAAGCTCAAGTTACCTCATTGTTACATGGGCCAATAATACCTCATTTCCTTTAAGACGGTTTAGACTGTGTTCTGTCACTGGCAACAGAAAGGAGTCCCAACTTATGTGCACTAAAGCTGACATGAAGTCAACTACTCAGCTGCCACTCAACTCCACTGTTACGTAGTTAAACACAAACTACATTTAATGTGGGATGTGGTACATTTTAATGTTTGATGCGAAGAGGAACGGGAGCCTCTAAAAATAAAGAGTTTTAGCATGGCCTAACTCCAAAGCCTGTACCCATGGTTCTGAGATTTCAGGGTCTGAGGTGAATTCCCTGGGAGACAATGCCGGGCAAGGAGCACTAGATTCAGAGTCAGAAGTGAATCAGCTCTAACACTTCCTTATGTGACCTCAGGCTAGTTAATTCCACCCTCTAAACCTCTGATTCCTCTCCTGGACCAAGCAGTGGCAACAACTCCTGCGTCATAGAGATGTTATGAGGAATGACGCTTTTAAATGAGCCTGGCACACAGTAGGAACTTGCTAAATTATTTCTGAAGAGCAGGTGGTTCGGATGGTCTGGCCTCCCTCCCTGGATCTGATCTGGACAAAAGGTGGTGGGAGGCAGGCTTTGAATTTCCTCCTTGAGAAAGCCGGATTGCTCGATGTGGAAGAGTGGGAAACATACAAAGTTGGAAGGCCTGAATTAGCAGCACTCGAGTTTCCAACTAACATCTCCAGATTTAGGCCGGGCCCACTCCTCGTTACGGACGGATGCCCAGCCAAGTTGGAAGCCCAGCAGTCTGGCTGTGCGTGGAGACTGAGGTGCGAGTTCCAGCCTTTTGTTTGAAGTGGAAAACGGGCTGGAGCTTCCAGGAACGTTCACCTTTGAGCGGAGGGCAAGCTTGAGCCCTGCAGACAAAGTGCTGAACTTTGCAGAAAGGGACAGGCAGGGTAAGAAAACATTGCCTGGACGAGAGATCTTTCGAGGAGGCTGCAGAGTGGGCAGGGGGCCTGGAAGACACACCAGGACCCAGACGACATTATGGGCTGGGTGAGCAGTGAGGAACTACAGTGAGAGAAGCCAGGGCATATGTGCAAGGGGGACAGAAAGGAGTGGTCTCTGGGCACTGGGCCCCCCATAGATAATTCTGGAAGCTGCCTATCCAACCTGAGTCCAGGTCCCTTGGCTGATCTCAGTGGAACAGTCAGACCAAACTGAAAAAAGGTTACACCATGGCTGGTTCCCCACCCTAGAATGTCTGCTTGGAAAACTGCTTTCAACCTTCAAGCTCAGTTCACTAACCACCTCCTCTGGGAAGCCTTCCCTGACTGCCATCTAACTTCCTGGGTATTTCCTTCTCTTAAGACTCCATTCAGGCATCAGACTTCATTGGATTCACATAGCTCCATCTTCTGAACACCCTCAACACCCATGTCTCCTCCCACCCCGACACAGAGTATTCTGTATCTGCCTGCCTGCCTCATCAGTCTGAGAGCTTCATGAGGTCGGGGCTGCCTCTCAGTTGCTCTCATGGCTCAGCCCAGGTCTTAGCCCAAGACAAGGATGCCCATAGCACCTGCTGTTGAATGGATGAGGGTTCAGCTGGGATAGAAATGGTGGGTGTGACATATGAATGAATTTGCCTCCGAAAGAAAACAGACTTCACCTCCTGGAGCCCTTACTAATGCCCCAGAGACAGCCGTGAGCTGTGAGGGGCCCCACCTGGGGGGGTGTGCTGAGAAGGAGACAGAGTGAGCAGAGGGCTGTGGCTCTCTGCCTGCCTGTCTTGGTCTCCTTACTCATCTGTTCACTCATTCATTCAGAATTTACTGATTGCCAACTACAGGCCAGACACTTTCACATCCGTTATTTCATTTAATCCTCTTAAACTGCTGATCTAGACTCAAGCTGGTAGAAGAAAACAGCTCAAAGAGGCAAAAACGGCTTGCCCAAGGTCACGGACTTGTTAAGTGGGAGAGCCAGGATCTGAACCTGCGTTTGCCCCTGCAGCTCACTCCTCTGCTGTCTCGTCGCAGGCAGACCCCAGAGGAGAAAGGGTGTGGGAGAGTGGGTGCTGCCCACCAACACCCCTCACCTCCCCCAGGTCCACAGAGCCACCGTCAGCATGAAGCAAGGTCTTGGAGGTTCAAGGGCCAGCATAGTGCCTGGCACACGTGCTCGTACATGTCTGGGTTGAGGGGCTGGGCTTTGGCCTGAAGTTTCCAACACCCCAGAGGTCAGGAGAGGAGCCATGGTGCCTGAGGTGGTTACAAGTTCCCCACCATGAACTCAGACCCAGTGGGTAAGAAGTTAATGGTAGGCCGCCCCTGGGGCTTGACCCTTGCCTCTGCTCCTGACTGTCTCTATGCGGGCTCATGGCTCACAAAGATTTAAAAAACACATGTGCTCGGGCCTCACCCCCCAAATGCTGACTCAATTGGTTCAGGCAAGGCAGATCATCAATATTTAGAGAGTAAATGAATAGCCCATCCCAGAACCTTGGTGATTTAGTAGAATTTGATCATCTCTCCCCGTCTCCCACCTCCAACCTCCTTCTTTCCAAACTGGAGTCCTGTTCCTTCTATTTGATCTGAAGACTGAATCCTGATGACATCATTTGGCACCTAGATCCAGTCTTACTTGAAACAGAACTACCCCCTGGACGTTTTTAGTTACATAGGCAAAAAATTCTTTATTCGCTTAAAGGCATTTTGAACTGGGTTTCAGTCACTTACAACCAAAGCAGTCTTCACAACAATGTAGTGGTGAGCAGGGTGTCCCCTTCCCTGAAAGTCTGGGGCCCTATGTTGCCCCAGTGAGGACACACCAGTGATCACACAGGAGGGAGCCGATGAGAAAAATCCTTCTGGGTTGAATATCCAGAGATGGGGAAAAACTGCCTAGTACATGGTGCTCGATATTCAACACCTATTTATGGAATGAAAGGAAGTATTTCCTTCTGGACCAGGTGGATGTGGGGTCCAGAGAGGCGTCAAGGAGAAAAGGGGTCACGTGTCTCTCAGGGGCTCTGGAGAAGAGCTCTGGCATAGGACTGGTACCGAGCAGCAGAGGGAGTAGCCCAGCCAAGGGTCTGGAGCATCAGAAGAGGCTCTGTTGGAGGCTCAATGACGTGCCCAGCTGTGGCCAGATGTGTAGACAACTGACACGCAGGGTCCAGGCCAGCCAAGAAAGCTGTCCTGTTGAGCCACTCCAAAGGGGCCAGAGCCTGAGCTGAGGTGCAGGGTTCCCACAGGTGAAGAACCTGGCTTCAAAGTGGAGGGCAACTGATGTTTAACAATTAAGTGCCTACTAAGTGCCGGCATTATCTTCCCATTTTACAGGCCAGGACACTGAGGCTCAGTGAGGTCAGGGCACTTTGAGTCCGGGGCCTGACATGGCTAATCCTGGCTGTAGGTTAAGAGTCAGTCCTCAGAAAGCAAGCATCACATTTCTATTTCTTTGGTGTCCCTGTGGCTCTTTAAGCAGGTACATGGAGCATGATGGATGGATCCAGCATGGGCCCTCAGGGATCTCCCAGTCTATTGGCGGACACAGGCAGGAAGACAGACAGTGACAACCCAGGTTAGCAGACAGGAAAGAGAGGGCTGTGTGAGGGGCTGTGGACTCCAGGGTGGGCCAGCCCGATTGGGCAGTCAGTGAAGCCAGAGGCTGTGGAAGGATGAGCCAGGACTGGGGGTGGACAGACGAGGGAAGGGCAGCCCTGGCAGAGGATGCAGTATGCACAAAACCTGAAGACCCCATCGGGGGGTGGAGCTTGGCAGCACCCTGTGTCTGCAACATAAGGAACAAGAGGACAAGGAGTTTCTCCCCAGGGAACGCGGCCTTTCTTGGGTAGGTGGTGAGGACCCAGGGACTG